GAATAATGATTCACAGACGTAAAAGAGACAGACAGACACAAAGGTAGAAAAAATGTGAGGTGAATTCTGTGGAATTATTCGAACATGAAATGTAATGGGGTCATGGTAGTTTGAAGTCAGAAGTCAACTCCCGATTAATAGACTTTTATGCCGTATGAGTATACGTTGCCCAGGGAGCACCACGTGGAGGTAAGTCTATCGCACTCGCCATAATATATGCACAAAACACTACTTATTAATCGATGGTAGTGTTCCGAAATCTAAAATTGTAGAACTGTTAACGGTCATTTCTAAGTGTGATAATCTTTTCTATCCATAATCAATTGTGAAGCTGCCAAATGAATTCAAGGGTTGGCAGGAAGGAGATATAATTCTTGCATTATCTGGGGGGGGGGAGTCTATTTATCTGCCTCATCGTTCAATAAGGATTTTAAGTCTTAATAAAGTTTATGGTTCTAACTGTGGTATCGTTCTTTGCCTATAAGGTTGTCGTAGCTTAAACATTTTGAGCTACTGATTTAGAACTCAGTCACGATAGATGCTGGCTTTCAGGAGCAAGGATTTGTATTCCTCTTCGCCTTCGTAGTACTGTATTTACAGTCTTGTTAAAATGAAAGCATTCATATTTCTAGAATAGGCAAGGATACAGATCTCTAAGTTTGCATAACCTGTCTAACTAACGTCAAATTTAAATGTGTATATATTGCGGGACACGATGGCCATTTCGAATCTGGTCAGCCTAGTTAGTATTTATTGAACCTGAACTATCAGAATCATGCATTGATAACGCCACAACTTAATATGGAAATGAAAATTTAAATGCCTGTAATTTTTTAACCCTTCCTCCTCCTTTTAGTCAAACATAACTCTCCTCCAAAACGCCATAGCCGCCATCAAGCCCATCACTTACAACTCAATCACCACTGCAACCGGTGCTCCACCGATTGCAAATGAAACAACATTAATCGCGAAGTCTGCTGCCAAGCAGAATCCCCATGAAAATGTGCCTCCTACAGTTCCACCGGTGGATTCTAAGAACTTCTCGTGATCCTCTCCTGCCTATCTCTATTTCTTGTGATTCACTAGCCATAATCCTTCTACTAACCTGCTTACGCCCCCCGCCCCCCCCCCCTAATACTGATTTCAATGTTCTATTCTGCTTTTTGAGTTTTCAATCTTGCCTACACTGTCTTTATTGGCGATTTCCCAAGTGAGTTGAATGAAATTAAAAATAACTCCTTTGTTTACTTATTTTTTATCGTATAGGGGCTGTGGTTTGCTATTACCACAGAAGAGAATATTAGATTGTATCCAGGTTTCTTGTACTGGGAAGGAGTCTGTGAATTCCATGTTGAGCAGTCCTATTTATATCGAGAGCTGACAGGGTTGTAAAAACAGTTGGATCAGGAGGACGTTGTAGTGGTCACCGTACATGTATTTCGACTCGGAGGTTGCGATATCGACGCTCTCCGCCGTGATTCTAATGAGTAGACAATGGTTGTCTCCAAGTCAAATCCCATTTCGTCTCCTTGGTCACAATATTGTACTTGTAGTTGATGAACTTTCTTCAGAAACTTCAACCCATTTTGGGGTATGCATGAGGAATTGTATATTACGAATTGCTCAAACCGGATGGAACTATTATAGGCGAGGTTAATTGTTGTCAATATTTGCAAGGGATAAGTCGGAAATCGAAAGATTAGTGTACACATTCATTTGAAAGAAAAGAGAAAACTCCTCAACGCGATATTTTTCTGTCCTGAAAATGCAAGAATTAGATCGAGGAGTATTTCCACATCCTCCCTAGTCATCAGGCCTCGCCCCACCGCATTAACACTTTTCCAAGTCCATGGAGCACGATAATAGAACGATGAATTGGAAATGTGACCTAAGTGGAAACCCACTTGCAAGAGTATTTCGGTTCAAATATAGCCAACGCTTCGCCAATGAGGTGTGGTCGGATGCAAGTAACAACTGATTCTGTGAATTATATCTCATTATATCATATGCATAGCTAAAAAGCAATAAAGGTTTAAATCTTTCAGCGAAATTTATCAGAAGTTAGTTATCCAATGAGGTGATTGGTCTTACCATCTGGAGAGACGGTCCCATTAACAACAACTCATTATTATTTACCATTACTCGACATCTCCACGGGCGAAGATATTAGAACACGTCGATTTTTTACTTATATTTTATTTATATTTATATATTGTTGTCGTTGCAATAAAGTGGTGCAATATTGAATGCTCACTTATTTATTTTATCTGATCTATTATAAATTATTAATCAAAGTCCCACATTAGACCGAGTTTCGTTTACAAGTCATTTGGATCTTACTCCAAGGTTTTATTGAGGAAAAATGCATGTTTAATTCTAAGTTTAATACAATAATTTACAATATTGTACTTGTGGTCTTAAATTGAATAGTTGGAGATTTAAAATAGATGGAGAGATAGATTGATTGAATATTCAATGGCCAATGTCGATCATGATCCAGCTAAACAAAATTAATTAATTTAGATGAATAGATAATTGAGGTTGAATTAGCTCTAATGCGAGTAAAAGTCTCAAAATCCAAGAATTTTGAAGATTCTCCATGCAAGTGTATAAGGCATAATCGATAATGCTACAACGAACGGATATGCTATTGACTAAAATTAAGCCATACTATTGGTTGCTGTTGAATGGCCCAAAGAAATATAACTTCGAAATTGTATTATTCAGAGGTATAAATTGCCTTGTTGTTAAAGAAAACAACATCCTTCAACTTCCAGCTTTTGAGAATTCACGCTCTCACTACTGCTTTGTTGATTTGAAGTAATTTTTAAAACGCAGAAATGAAAAATGTAATTGTTTCGGAAAATTAATTGAAATTGGCGGCTGATATTAGGGTAAAAGATATTTAGACGAATATTTAGGTCCATACTGGAGTTAGGTCTGGATATTCAAAAAGATAGACAAGTAAAAGTCGATGCCCAGGTGACATTTGTTTATTGTCGCTGCAGTGATAAACGTTCAGAGGTCACGGGTTAGAAACTCACAGAATCTAATCGTTACCGAACCGAAAAGATTGACTATTAAATTTATTAGTACAATTAGAAATTCTCATTAGGGGGATACAATGATTCGGCGCCCAATCCAATTACTAGATAGGCTCGAGAATTTTTGATATTATTAATTAATTGACATTGGGAATAGATTACAACTCATAAACCAATTTTCGAAGGTGCTTTAAAAACCATACTTTAGCAATAGCACTATGAAACCTCGAATTTAACCATTTCTTATATATGAGAGACGGGGTGTGCGATAGACTTAACTCCACGTAGTGCACCCTGGGCAACGTATACTCTTACGGCTATAAAGTCTATAAATCGGCCGATGACTTCCAACTTCAAACTGCCATGACCCCACTGTATGTCATATTCGAGCACTTCTAGAGTACGCACCTTACTCTACTCCCCACCTTTATATCTGTCTCTTTTACATCTCCGAATCACTTTTCTCTCCCCCCTCTCGAACTTTTTTGTGCCTTTGATGCTCCTCCCCTCTGCGAAGCTCGAAGTCAACTAAAGAGCATAATGATAACTATTTCAAAGCCTGCCGTTTGATATAAATAAATGAGAGGATTAGAAAGTATGGTTGGCCTTCCCATTCGCCGCACTCGTAACGAAAGACAGTAAATCCGATTTCAAGGACTAACACGTCAACTGATGCTAATTATAAGAAGAAAATATTACATGAAAATATGATTAGCAACAAGAGGCTAGGAGAACGTAGCTATAAAATCAAATCTACCCAAATGCATTCATTTTAATTGTACATTCAATCAAAGTGTTATATGTATTTCTTAGCAAAAGAGTGAAGACTTTTCTATTACTAAACTGGACTCGAGTGAATTTTAGCTTTCCAAGGTTTCTACTAACTTCAAGTTGGAATAAATTTTTCATTAAAGCAAGATTTATGATCGATTTAAACACGTGCTAATGATCTGTTGGAAACGGCCCACTGGTTTAAGGAATCAAACGGTTAAAGAGCTATTATGGCGGTGAATGTAAACAGTATTGTGGATAAATTTCGCAACCAACTTAGCAAAGACGCAGAGGCCCACTTAAGTCAAGTTTTACCACAGCGTCTTCAATCCGTAATTGAAGTTCTTAAGTCCCCTATTTTCGATATTGCCGCAAATTTGGAAAAAGTGAAAAAACTGTCACTTGGTTCGATTTCAAGCGACTCGATGGCAAATAATGCTGAAATTCCGCGTTCATCGAAAGAAATAACATCGAATCCCACAGTTACTGACGCTTACAACACAATCAAGCCATTCCTTCTTCAATTAAACGACGATGCCCAACTTCTACGAATGTGGGTCACACTGAACATTCCAAAAATCGAAGATGGAAATAACTTTGGAGTCTCCGTTCAAGAAGAAGTCATTCTTGATGCTTCAAAAACGGAATCAGATGTAGTAACTAACTTGGATTTTTACTCTGATTACTTATTGACTAGAGGGAAAATCAGTAGTAAGATCATTAAATGGCCAGGAGTTAGGTCATACACGGATGCACTAATTGAATTGGATGAAATGGCCTACGTGAGGATGAAAATGACCCTACAAGATATAAGAAACGACTATGCCAGGCTGTATGACCTTTATACAAAAAATATTGACAAGATTTTAAATCCTCGTTCGTCAACTGGGCTAGAAGCGCTCAATTCAATGTATTGATTTTCGATCAGTTATAGTACCCGTGATTTATAAACCTAAATGGGTGTTCATTTTTGCTACTTAAGTCGTTGTCACCCCAATGAAAAGTTATTTAGGTTAACAATTTTCATTCTTAAGAATTGCCATCGGAGAGTTAAAAGTTATTTACTTTATTAAGGTAGTATCTCATGAATAATAAATTGCTTTTAAAATGGGGAATAGTGTCTCAGCTATTAATGAACAATTGTAGCTTTACATTGAGCAAAAATCGATATCGATATTCAAACTTTTTACCGGAATCATTATAACCCTATTTTATTTAGCCTTGATTGACGGAAAGCTTTAATTTTGCCAATAAATGATCATCCCTATTATCGAATGCGTTTATAACACTTGACCTGGTTGGAGGGGAACACGTACTCAATCATTCCCTTGATCAAAATTCGTCAGCGGTGCAAAAATAAGCATTGATCTCAAGATCTCTGAATAGCCAGACATGTATGCTAACCACTCCATCAAAAATAACTCACAAGACCAGAGTAGATTGCTCTCCCGGATGTACACTGTTCTCCAAACTTCTTACGAACAATTTAACCGATGCCCCACAGATACCACTATACCACTGAATAGTTGTCAGTAGAGCTCTTTCCAATATGGTTTAATTGGCTTATAGAATTAAGTTAACCATGCGACAAACATGTAAATTGTTCTCAGAAAGCTCTCGTTTTAATGGCAGGCGTTTTGATGGTTATCATTAGCCCTTTAGTTGACTTCAGGCTTCACAGAGTGTAAGGAACATCAAAGTGAAAAAGTCGAAATTGAGGAAGGGGGAACAGAAGAGTGTTTCAAAGACGAAGGTAGATATGGTAGAAAAAAGGTGAGGTGAGTACTGCGAAAGTAGTCGAATATGATATACAGTGGGGTCATGGTAATTTGAAGTCAGAAGTCAACTGCCGAATAATAGACCATTTTGCCGTATGAGTAAACGTTGCCCAGGGTACACCACGTGGAGGTAAGTCTATCGCTCAACCCCACATGCAAATTGTTATTTCTTGCAGAGACGTCTCTAACATTTATTTCATATTCCACCCCTCTTGTATTGAAAATTGTTTCTTATTAGTAAAGTGATTAGTAAAAACTAAAGAATAACCTCCCGGGTAACTGAATTTCGTAATACTGAGATCAAAAGCCTGCCAATTTGTACCTCCTGTCTTTGCTAGCTGGAGTAACATCGGGTGCTTCTTTTAACTCCAACTATCACAGGAAATATTTCTTCCGGGTTACGAACAGTAATCTAGAAAATACAATGGTTATTTATCTTCTAAAACTGAAATACGGTCGGCTATGGTTTATGCCTTTCTGCATTTACTTTGATATTTGATTTACACTTTGTTTCCTTTTCAAAGATAAAAAAGTACATTTCCGCCTATTTCTTCAAACCTTCCCTCATTTAATTCTTTTATTCATTAATTCTCTCTTATTCGACCGAACTTCCTTCGACGGGTTATTAAGAGAGGGAAAAATTGAACGACCTTCAATACGAAACGCGTGTCTTATTTTGAAATAGTGGGCTTGATCAGTCAGGAAATCCGTGTGGATTATTTATCCTAACAGTAAATCATCACATTTTCTGCAAAAAATTCACTTACCTGCCATACTTGTCAACAGTATTCACCAGTTCGTTGAAATGCAAATGCTGTTCACAAAATATGGTACCCATTATGGTGAACTGTTACCTTGGAAGATCAAAGAACACTAGGTGAGTTACAATAGATACATTTTAAGCTTGAAGTACTTTTCACTGTTTATTTATACAGTTTCTATTTGAACAATTAAATGCATGGCTTTCAAACTGTTTATTTTCGAGAGAGGGAGAGAGTAAATAGATGAATCCTCCATGGTGTTTAGAATTTTTTTGCGCACTTAGCAAGATGAGGAATACATGGTGTAATTTAGCACTGCTTTTAAGCTTAATCTAATTTAAATTGCTCTTATTATAATGACACTTCTGCAGTTCTTGTGGCGCGGTAAGATTTCAGTGTCTAATGTGAAGGAATCGACTTTGTTGAATGTAATTAAAGACGTATTTGTCGATCAAACTTTTAGCAGATTAGAATTGTTTCCAGGATCTGAGTCAATAATTTTATACAGCTTAGTGATTGTTTAAACGTTTTCAACAGCTGAATTTTATCACCATGTGTATATTGACCCCTTCTTTCAAATTTGTCGTGGATATTCAAATGATCATCAGACACCATTCTTCTCAACGGAGAACCAATTCTTTTAGCTTTTCCAACCGTCGCTGCCTGTATAAACTGGCAGTAATTTGGCACTTGGTCGGAGTCCAATGCCTTTGTTTCCATCTCACATCCGCTGGGTCTTTCTCAAACTCCTGTCTCTCGACTTATGCACTCTCCTCTTTGTCTACAGCTTCGCTTACTGTCATTGACGTTTCTGTGATGTTATTTTTGATATTTTAGCTGATTAAATTGCTTTGTATATAAAGTGACTATCTTATTCTTGAATCCCTATTGATCAAATCTCAAATCTCATGACAATTTCAATAATAGAAGTGGTCTTCTCTTTTCATCCTCTTGGAGCCTGTATAGTTTTAGCTTGAGTAGACAATGACTAAGGAGTAACTTAAGTTTCGCAACTGCTTTTGATCTTCTCAACCGCAAAACAACCTCAACTGAACAGAATTTGATCAATCAGTAACTTCCGCAGAAACCTCTACATATACAAGAGGCATCTTAATGAGAAAGAAAGGAGTCAAAATAGACGACAAATGAATTAAAATCAGAAGTTAAAAACATAACATTCAAGAATTGTGTTCACAAGACCCTGAGAGAACTCAAATACCTTGTCGATTCAATTAGAGAAGATAAATTCATTTTGACATGGAGAAGTCCATGCCAAAGGCCGAATGGGAGAGAGGAGTTGAAGTTGAAAAGACTCTTTCGGACAATCAATCAGCTTGAAAGACTTGTCTACGCATACACGGGCCTCCACCAGTTTAGCCTCTTCACCACTCTAAAAAATGTAAAAAAATCAGAATGTGTTCTATCATTTAAAATGCCTTCTCAAAAGCGAAAATATCAAATTCGGCGATTAAGTATCAAATAACAACAGTCCTAATTTAACGACCAAATGAAAAGATTTGGGAAAAAAACTTACATACCAACAAAAATTAAAAAAAAATGTTAAATTTTAATTTTTAACAACAAATGAAAGGAATGGAAGAAAAATCTAACAGATAATATGGGGGAGATTAAACAAAAAGTGGTGAGGGTAACTTTGAGGTATCGAAGGTCACTACTACGTTTAATTTGGGGGTTTGAGTCGTACGATGTTCAATAGATGGATATTTCGATTTGCCGAATTCAAATTTCGCGCATCTTCCTCTGGGATAGAGTAAAAGTCAATGTTGGACAAAAAAATTAATTTTACCCAGGAAACAACTATTATAGAATACCAATGATAATTAATTACTTATATATGTTAAAATGGAGAAATATGATCATTAATTAGCACATATGGAGAGTAAAGAAAGAGGAAAGTAAAAACTGCTTCGATTTCACAAGACATTACAAAATGCTGGGGAATCTATCGACAAAAATAAAGCTTTTGTAAGCAAAAAAAACACGCGCCACATGCCCCCTAAAATATTGCACCACCGTTGCTCAAAGTTATTCTAAATGATGGCTTGAAATGAGAACCATCAGAAGAAGATGGTTCAAAGTTAACGAGGCTCACGAACTCGAGGAGCCTACCATGGGTAAAGTCATCCCAGTACTTGTTTTCGACCCTATCTGGCCAATCAACAGGCAGTCCCAAAATCCTGCACGCATAATTACCGGACAAATTAAATACACCGGTTAAAAGGACAGATCGATGAATGATAAATGATAGCAACCTGAGGAAATCGGTCTTGCTAAACTTAAGTTTACTCCCTGGGAAAGGTATCAAAAGCAATTGCACAGAATACAATCGAGGTTGCACTGTCTTATCAGCAGAATCCTATATGCTACCAGGTTACCGCTCTTTTGTCTCACATTGACTGTAGTTTTGTTGGACCTATACGAGGAATCTCTGGCCAAATCTCAGTGGATTCATATTCAAAATGGCACGAGGTTATCCCATTAAGTCTCCCACAACCGGTACCGTCATCAAGAGCCTACACCAAATATTCGCCAGTAAGGGCTAATTAAGGGTTACTGCAACCAAGTCCATTCTAATAGAATTAAGGATTCTTATTGTGGTCAAAAAAAACATCCCTTTTAAGCCCTCTGCCTAATTGCAGTAGCTTAGGGATAGATATCAACTTCGAAAACGGGGAAAAGAAATAATCAAACGAAGATTCAAATATGAGCAAGGATACAAAGCGAATTAAACGTTCAATCGCATGGAATTCATTACAACTAGGATTTAAACCCTCAGTAAAAAGGCGTGCTTACTTTCTTTCTCTTTCTTGACGGTTTATTTACGTGCTTGTAATCCCCAACCCCCTCCCCCCCCCCAACTCAAAATCCTGGACTAGGGGAATTAATAATAATAACAAATACATAAAAATACTGAGATAAGCAAATAAGATCCCCAATGGAGAAGAGATTTGAATGAACGCATGCAAAATTTAAGGTCACGGTTTAGAAGTTAATCGATGCAAATCTGCAAAACGGAATGGCCAGGCGTAATGGCTAGAAAAACTGGTCAAAGTGGGTTAGCAGGTAGCAGCATTTTCATCCTAGAGGTTTCCAAATGCAGCATTTTTTTTCTCTTCCAAATAGAAGTGCTGAAAATCACTTCCATTCAATGGGACTTTATTAAAATCAGAAACGTTTTGAGAATGTTAATTATAATCTGCATTTCTAGTGAAAACAGCACTGAGATTTTATCTTATTTACATTTCAAATAGAAACGAACAAAACTCCAACCTCCCCCCCCCCCTCCCTATATTAATTAATTAATTAATTAAGTTAGAAATAAAAGTTCTACTTAAAAAAATGAGAATTAAATGATGA